GATCCTTAAAAGTCTCACTAAATTTTTCAGAGGTTTCTAGAAGATTCTTGAGTAACCTTATAACTGTGGTTTTGAACTCTATATCCAGTAGTTTGCTGTCCTCCATTTCTTTCATTTGTGACCTGTTTCTTTGTCTCCACATGTTGGCTGCTTCCCTGTGTTGATGGAGTGGCTTTGTAAGTGACTAGGTAAGTGACCTATAGGGCCCAGTGGCTCAGCCTCCCTAATTACCTGAAGTGGACACTCTTGGTGCACCACTTTGTGGGCTGTGTGCACAGTCTTGTTGTAGTTAAGCCTTGATTGCTGTTGGTATTACTGGGAGGAATTGACCTCCAGGCCAATTGACTATGAGGATCAGCTGTGTCTATAATGGAAGAACTGCTATGCTGGAGACACCCTTATGGGGCAGGACTTGTTTCAGTAGGGCTTTGGTGTTCACTGAGCCTGCCTCTTGAGTGTGTCACTTATGTATGTGAGGAGTTGAAATTTGGTGTCATCTCACATTGTCCACTAGGTATACTGGGCTCCTGGATCTACAAGGAGGTTCAGGTTAGCTATTGTCTGTGGCCACCCAGCAGGAGCTACAGCAAGATCTGCAGATTTCTCCTCTTTGCTTGGGGTGTGGAAGTTTTGGAGCTGACCCAGATGCAGTTTGTTATGTTAAGTTGCTATTAGGAAGGCCATTCATATGCAAAAGCTGCTGCACACAATTTGGGTGGATTTGTAAATTGGTCAGGGTGGGGTCTCAGGGAATCACGAGGGCATGGCAAACAGCGATGGCTGCCAGTCAGTTATCTCTGCATCTCCATGTTTCCACCTCCCATGTCCCACACCCCAGTGCAGTAAACAATCATTTTTGCACGCACCTGTGTAAGAAAGCCACCCTCACTTTCCAACCCGATGGCAGACAGTCCCACTTTTCTCCATAGGAGTCTGGATCCCCAGAGTCTTGCTGGAAACTAGAGTTCAGAGCAGTTGGGAGCTATGTCTCCCTTCAGATTGAAAACAAACAAACAAACAAAAAAAAACAGCACACCCTGTCACCAGCCTCTGTACTGCTTTTCCGTGCCTGTGCATATCCTACCTGGTCTCAATGCTCTTCTCTTTTTCCTTCTAGTTGTAGAACTTCTACTCAGCCAGCTTTCCTGTGGTTCTGGGTGATAGACGTTTTGTCTTTTAGGTGTCAGTTTTGGTGTGGTTGTGAGAGGCAGCACGTTCAGGTGTATACTTTATGCCACCATCTTGATTTTTCAAGATTTAGATTCTATTGTTATCATTTGGAAATCTTTAATCTATTTCCCTTAAAGGGTCTGAAGTCATCCAATCTCTTGATTCTCTCTAATGTTCTGTAGTCCTTAAGACCCTATCTCTGCTTGAACCCATCCTGGCCGCTGGGACCACTGCCCACAGCTGATCCCAGCTGGTTATTTCTACCCACAAAGTCGATGGCGTTGTTATTTTCACTCGTGTTTTTGGTTTCCTCACCTTTGTTTTTCTTCTTACATCTTTGAGATTATTTCCCGTCTTTAGTAAGGTCTGGTTACAGGTTTATTTTTGCCTGGAAAAATCTGTACCCGGTTCTGATTCTTGAGAGAGAGTTTTGCTGGTAACAGAAGTCTGGGCTGGCAGCATTGACTCTAGGTTTGATGGATGGCTCCCATGTCTACCCCTGCTGCTGTGGGACTCCAGCTGTGGGCCCGTGGCTGTGCTTCAGTGGATCATTGGGAAATTGCTGGCTCTCAAGTCCCAGGGGCTTGAAGGCCTCCTCTGCCTTTATGTTCCTGCAGTTTACTGGTAACTCTCTGGATTTCTAGTTGTGGGAGCTGCGTGATTTCCTTGGGCCTCTGAACACCAGGATCGATAACAGGAAAATCCCCCCCAGCTCACACCTCCTTCCTCAGTCCTGCCCTGCACCCCTGGTCCCTCCTAGAACATCCGAGCGATGGAGGTGAGACCTGTGCATCCTCTTGTCTCCATCCCTTCGTGTTGCCGTCAGTTTCTCTCCAGTGCCCAGACTCCTTGCTGGGTCACCTCCTTTCGGTTATCATTCCACTGACAGTGGGTTTTAACTGTGGAATCCGCTATTTAACTCTTTCGTTTCTGATGTCAATCATTTAAAAAAAAATTTTTTTTCTGGAAGTTATATTTTATTTTCGATGGTTTCTTGGTCCTTTGTCATACTTCAATACCCTCCTTCATTTCTATAAACATGTCAATCAGGTTACTTTCTATTCTGATCGGATTATTCCAATTGTCTGCAGAGTGTGGTTCTGCCCGAGATGTTTCTGCCGTGCACAGGGCCTCCTGGCGTGGCTGCTGACCCTGTGGTGTGGATTCGGGCTCCCTGGGTAGGGATTCTTGGAGCAGGGAGCGTGCGTTCCTCCAGAGGGTCTGTGTGTGCATCTGCCAGAGCCCAAGGCACTGGGAATACAGTGTGTGTGTGTGTGTGTGTGTGTGACTGCACACACACGGAGGCTTTAAACCCTTATTCCCAGGGGCCAGGAGGATGGCTCACAGTAAAAAACTCTGGGAAGGAGGCTTTTTCTCTCCTTTGCCCTTCCACCCAGAGTGAGGCCCCCAGAACTGACATCCCTATCCCTTCTGGGGCCCTGACTCACACTAGGACACCTTGCCTTGGGGCTTCGGTTCTGACCCCCGCCTGCCCAGGCCCTGGCTGACTCCTGCTCCTGCCCCAGGAAAGCCAGGGCTTGGCTGCGGGGATCGGAGGTGCCAGGCTCCTGCGGCCTCTGTGACCCACACTTGTCTGCGATGGCTGGTCTCTGGGGTTCCCCCTCAGCCTGTGCCCCAGGGTCCCCAGGACTGCTCAGGGGGCACCTCAGGTGTGGGCGGCTGGCTTGGATGGCTCCCCCCATGCCTGGCCTTTCCAGCCCAGCCCCGTGCTCACAGCCGGCCAACGGCCTGGCCGTCCTTTCCAGGGCCACCCTCCTCTCCGGGCACGGCCGTACCCCCCAGACGGCCACCTCCTCACTGGGACGTCCTTCCACGCCCCTCTTGTCCTGGCAGTGAAACGTCACTCGTTCTACAAACCACCGTCTCCGGAGGCTTCCTGGTCCTTCTCTGACTTCGAGTCACATCACTGACGCTGCCTTGCTCCTGTGCTTGTTGGTCCTGAAGCTGAGGGCCAGGAGGGCAGTCGGGGGTGGGGGGGGCACTCAGTCCCTGGTCCCTGGTCCAGCCTATGCCGGCCACCAGTGGGCTCAGCGAGGTGACGGGACGCCTGCTCCACTGGCTGCCGGACCCGTGCGGACTCATGGCCTCCTCCCAGCGAAGGGCCGAGGCTGTCAGGGCGCTGGCCGCTCAGGGTACAGTGCAGACGGCACTGCGGTGTTTGCGTACTTGTCCCCTGGGCACAAAGGCGACCTGGCTGGCCTGGGCCCAGCCGTGCGGGACACGAAGCGGCCCTGGTTTGTCCTAAAAAGGCCTCTTAATCGAAATGAGAGATTTAATGTGCCACGGGCCATTTCCTGCAGCACCAGCCTCCATTAGCCAGCTAATGTGGCCGCGAGGAGCGATGAGGCGGCCGCGGGAACAGATGGCCCGGGAGCCGGCAGCGCGCTGTGACCGCAGGCGCGCACCCCCGGGACGAGGAAACCGGGTTACTGAGTCCGCAGGCCGGATGCCAGCTGCCGGCCCTCTCTGGGGACCCTTCGCCCCTCCTTTCCGGTGGGGGGCCCTCCTCAGCCCCTTCTGTGGTTTCTCCCGTGTGCCTCCCCGTGTGGCCCAAGCTCTGCTCCTGGAGAGGGGCCCTGGTCACCCTCAGGCTGCAGAGCCGGGTTCCGGTCTGGCTCTGGTTCCCAGCAGGAGTCCTACCCACCTCACTGCGAATCCACTGGTGTGACAGCAAGGTCCGGGCCAGAGAGAGCGGGGCGGACCTGTGTCCCAGGAGAGAGCGAGCAGGGCCGGCCCATGTCCCAATGCCTGTCCAAGGTCAAGATAAGGTTTGTCCCCCGACAGCCCATCGTCTGGCTGTCCTGCATGGAGGGCCCCTTCCTCACTCCAAACACTTCCCAACAGCCAGACCGCCTGGCGGAGGCTGCAGCGAACAGTCGCCATTACCAAGGACAGCTTCCTTCCGCCCTCCAGGGAAGAGCGCCTGCTGGGACAGGCCCTGGAGGCCGCTGGGCTGTCAGAGCTGGGCAGGACGAAGCCATAGGGGCCACATCACAGGCCAGGTCACCCACAGGGCCCTGCCCTGGGGGAGCCTTGCCTGGGCGCCCCGATGGCCCAGTCCCTCGGCACCCACTGCCCCTCCTGGGCCTTGGCCGGGCCACGACGTGCCACCTCACACCAGCAAAGCTGCCTGCTGGTCCCCGGGATCTGATGCCAGGAGGGTAACCACATTGGCCAGTGTGCTGGGCCATGGAGACCATGTGCCAGGTCCTCGGGGGACTCAGCCCTGGGCCCTGAGATCCCCTTCTGCCATCTTCCCAAGTGTCTCCCACCCCCCGACGTGGGACTTCTCACTGCTCTTTCCACCGGGATGCGGACCCAGGACAATGTGGCTGCCTCTGCAGGCTTGAGGCGTACGTTCTGTTGCTCCAATAGTGGAGTTTTCTCTCAGGAGCTAGGCACCATGGACAGGAGGCAGGCGCCCTCCGCACACAACTCACCCAGTCCCGCTGGCACACCCCTGCCACCGCACTGCACACCCACAACCAAGCACCCTTTTCCCTTAGAAAGGGGTGATCACGCCCACACTGCTTCGTACAGCTCTCAGCCTGAGGATTCTCCTGCGTGGAAAAGACACCATGTCTAGGATTCCACTTTCTATCTAGAGTAGGGGTGTCGAACTCAATCAGAGAAGGGGCCAAAATCTAAAATCCAGCCTAAATCGCGGGCCGAATGGTTTACTGAACAGTCATAAACTGTCATTGTGATGGAAACGCAGCGGAGTGCAGTGATGACAGCACGGTGCGGGCCACATTGCAAAGCCTGGCGGGACGGATTTGGCCCACGGGCCTTGTGTTTGACACATGTGATCTAGAGCATTGATTTTATTAACATGCGAGTGTACAAATGGAATAGAATAAATATATCATCACTTCAGCCTGCACAGCTGACACCAGGGGCCCTGCATGTTCACAGACTTCCAAAGCCTGGGAAGGAGACGGAGGACGAAGGCCGTGGGCCTCGGCCCCGTGTCCTGGCTGCCGGCTCAGCAGCAGGGCCATGTGCCCACGCTCCTGCCATGGCCGTTCGCCCAGGTGTCCCTGAAGTCAGGGTTCCCAGCTAGGAAGGGAACAGGGCCCCCTGGCAGTGCTCCACAGCCGACCCCCATGCCGGGGGCACCCCCAGCCCCACCTCCCTGAGGAGCTCCGAGGCCTCAGAAACGGCCCCTGGAAGAGGACGGCGAGGACAGCTGGCCTGCTAGGCCCCTCCGGCCACACAGGTCGGGGTGCTGAGTGACAACCACAGATGCAGAGGCAGCAGCTGGGCGTGGGGTGAGGATGTTTGTGTACAGGCCAAGTCGCTGAAGATCTGGGTGCAACTTCCAGCACCGACTGGGAGGAGCAACCAGTCACAGCCCCTCCCACCGCTCTGCAGGCAGCCGTCCACCTCCCTCTACCGCACAGGTTTTGCTCAGGACCAAGGGCGGAACTAAGACTGTGCTTTAGGGTAACAGTGAGTTACCCACAGACTCAAATCACACCGAGCCCCAGGGCCCGGCCAGCTCTACGGCCCCCAAGATGGGAGCTGCTTGCCCGTGTGCCTGCTGACTCCCTGGGGAAGCCTGCCCACAGGCGGCCGAGGAAAGCACACCGTGGGCCCTGCTGTGGCTTCAGATCCTGAAGAATAGACCGCCGGAGCCCCCAGCGGCAGTGCCTGTGCACAGGCAGCGAAAGCTAGAAGAGACACAGGAACGGGACAGCTCAGGCGCGGCACAGCTTCCGCTGTCCTCACGTGGCCATGGCTGTGCATGCCTGTGGCCTCCTCTGGGCCTGAGACCCCAAGACATGACGTTTGTCCGTCTAGCCAAGGGCAGGAGCAACACCACAGCGACATGTGACATCAGGGGACGCCCCGAGTCCACCGCGGGTACAATGGGTGCCGGGCACGCGCCTCCGAGTGCCAGCTCAGTACACGACCCTCCAGTGCGTGGGCTGCTCGCACGATTTCTCCGAGTCCCCACAGAATCGGTTGTATGTAGTATTGGGGTCCAACCCCAGGATCTCTCTCTCCTCATGAATCCGAAACGAGAACGTGGAGACAGAAGTGCCGATGAAGAACCTGCAACCGAAGAACAGGGGTCACTAGAGTTGTGCCCGGAACTCACCAGTCGCAAGCCCAACTCCCCCGTCACCTGCCCAGCTGAGGCCCCAGGACCCCGAGGCCATCACACAGCCAGGGCGGTGGGGAGCCATCGCCTGCAGCCGCCAGCCCCCAGGCACGGTCGCACAAGAGCTCTGCCCTGCAAACGCCCGCCAGTTTGGGTCTAAGGGAGGCCGGCCTCGCAGCACTAACCTACAATCTCCACAGAACTCGGGGCCGAGGGGACAGAGCTGTCAGGCTCTCACTCAGAACCCAGGGTGGCGGCCAAGCTGCAGGCTGTCTGTCTCTCAGACCCAGCCCACCTCCATCTCCACCTGGGGCTGAGCCTGCTCCCCAAGCCCCTGCTCAGCGGAGGAGAAGGGCCCTCACCGAGGGAGCGCCCGGCACACACAGGGACAGGCGCACATGCTGACCCACCAAAACCAAACACGTGCCTCCCCCAGGAGTGGGAGAATCCTGGCACAGGAGGGAATAAGCCCCTCCACTGTTCTTTTCCATTTTACTCCAAATGTGCTTCCTGGCCACATTTGGAGTAAAATGGAAAAGAGACACAGCCAGGGCGGTGGGGAGCCATCGGGCGCAGAGTCCTTCGAGGCATCCACAGGGAGCCCAGGACCCACCTGCGCGGGCTGCCTCCCACAGGACAGTCCCAGGCGGGGGCTGCTCCTGGCAGGCAGGCAGGCAGGCAGGTCTGGATGAAGCTGGGCCCTCACTGGCCACACTCACCCTTCGGCAGCTAGAGGGGAGGGCGGGGGAGCCATCACCCAGCACAGCACGGGCCCGAAGGAGACCAATGCCCGCAGCAGCCCAGGGGTGCTCGGTAGGCAGCGGGTTCACGGGGGCGGGGCTGGGCAGTGGCCCACGGCACGCAGACTGTCTTTGGACGGTGACCTGGGACTCCCGCACCTGGCATGTGCGCAGATCCACTGGTCGATGATGGCCACGCCTCCGTCTTTGAAGAGCTCCAGCTCCTCCCACGTGGGCTCGAACCGCACCAGCTCGGGTAACAGCTCCTTCAGCTCCTCACATTCTGCCAATTGAAAGGAGCCGCCGTTGAGCGGGGATCTGAGCTGCCACTGGGGTCTGCCCACCGGGACTGCACGCACACTCCGTGGCTCGCAGAGGGGCCAAGGGGACAAAACCACAGAACGCAGGCCGCCCTCCCAGCAGCACAGCCCAGGGTCAGGACGCACTCGGGTCTGCCCAGACACGACGGGGGCGAGAGGACGACAGAGCCAGGGCTGCCCACCCGTCCTCACGGCGTCTGTGGCCACAAACACTCTGTCCAGCCCGTGGATCCGCATGAGGCTGCGTATCTTCCTCACGGCTCTTTCCAGGCTGGGCACGTCCTCCCGGTGGCCCCAGGTGAAATCCTTCCTCCTCAGGTGCACGGCGAGGTAGGGCCCCCCCAGGGAGGAGCCCAGCTGCACCTGCAGAGGCGGCACTGCTGGGGCGGGCCTGGGGGCTGGGCCAGCATCCAGGCGCTGCCACTCAGGAGAGGCGGCGGGGACGGCGGCCCACACCCAGCATCCTGCACCGTGTGCCTGTGAGGGACTCTCAGGCGGACAGGATGTTTCCTAAGGCCGTGGAGTGACTAATTACCGAACCCTCTGATCTCAGTGCAGAAAAAGAAAAGTAAATGAAACATACCAATTAATTGAAAATAAAAACCTTGAGCCCTGCTCGTGTGGCTCAACAGTTGAGTGTTGACCTGTGAACCCAGAGGCCACTGGTTGCTTCCCCGTCAGGGCACAAGCCCGGGTTGTGGGCTTGACCCCCAGTAGGGGGTGTGCAGGAGGCAGGAGGCAGCCGGCCGCAGATGGATGTTTCTATTTCTCTATCCTTCTCTCTTCCTCTCTCTCTAAAAATCAATAAGACATTTTTAAAAATTAAAAAAATAAAAGCCTTCCACTTACCAGTGTATTTTTCCAGTAAAGACTACCCACATATCTAGGCCATTTCTCTAAGAGAGCCACATGTCCCGTAAGAGAGTAAGCAGGTGAATGGTGTTCCTGTCTATGAAATAGTTTGCTCTTAACAACCATGGGGAAAGGTCAAACAACTACATTATACTGAAAATGCTTAAAAACTATGTCAATGTGAAAACGCAACATAATATTTCTTAAAATTAAGTTACAGGAAAACCCAACCTCCCAGAAAAGAAAATGTGAGACGGGATAATGCTGGCCCAAAAGCGTCAGTGGTGCTTGTGTGGGTGGACTGATTGCGCTATTTTTCCTTTATGGCTCTCGTATTACAAAGAAACCACTGAACGTACGTAACTGGTCATCGTTTCCTGTCTGCTCACGTATCTGTGACCTGATTTCACTCTAACAACGACGGTCTGGGCTGCCGGAGCCTGCAGTAATTTCCGTCCACTTCACTGAAGAGAAACTGTCCCAGCCATTTCCCTAGGTTTTCACCAGGACCGAGTGCGCGCGCATGTGTGTAGGGGGGGCGTGCACACAGGGGCGTCCTGATGTGTGTGTGTGTGTGTGTGTGTGTGTGTGTGTGGAGGGCGTGCACACAGGGTTGCCCTGGTGTGTGTGTGTGTGTGTGTGTGTGTGTGTGTGTGTATGTGTGTGTAGGGAGGGCGTGCACACAGGGGCGTCCAGATGACCAGCACCCACGATCATTACAGTAATGAGCGAGGACTGCACTAAGGGGGTGACACTGAAGGTGACAATCGTGTCACCCCCTGCTGTAAATTAAGGGGTTTGCCATCAGACATCTCAAGAGATGACTTACATCTTCTCTCATTAGAGAGAGAGAAACTACCTTCATCTTGGTCCAGTCCTCCTCGTCGGGGATCCGGTCGGCCTTGTTGCTGGAATTGAGGTATTTAATTCTGAAATCATCGCCCACAGCACGCAGGTGCTTGGCAAACACCATGCTCCGCCGAGTCTGGGGGTGCAGACAGGACAGCTGAGTGCTCCGCCCATCAGCCCCCAGGTGGGTGCCCAGCTCAGCCCCTGCCACGACCCACCCTCACCCCGGCCACACGGTCTCAGATGTTAAAAAACAACATGAATTAAAACGACAGGGAACAGGTAGCAAGGCCCGCAGGCAGCACTCACGTCCCAGTACTCCTTTCCCCCGTAGTGATTGTGAAGGAGGTTCTCCGCTCTGTCCAGCATCACGGACCTATTTTAAACATCAGGAAGGAACGCCTAACTTTAAAAACTGTAAAAACGTTTACCACACGCGCTCCCCAGGGCAGCCTCCGAGCGGGCCGCGGCCGGGAGGCACAGGCACTGGGGCACCCGGGGCAGGTACTGCGCTCCTCCCACACCACGGTCTGAGGGTCCATTTCCGGGCGGTTCTAGGAGTGAATTAGTTCTGGCTAACGCACCGGGTTACCAAGCCCATGTGACTGACAATGCAAGAATGGAGTGGCCAGCGTGGGAACCCCGCCACGCGGTTCAAAAGAGCGGTGGCTCCGAGGAGCGCCCCGCGGGGACAGACTGCACCGTGCAGAGCCTAGGGTGTGGGTGCGCGAGCCAGCTCTGGGGCCCTTCCCTGGCCTCTCCCCAGCGACACACGCCTCCTCCCGGATCCCATGGCTGTCCTGCCTTGCTGAGGAGCAAGTGTGGGGGGAGGGGCAAGATCTAACTTTCCAGCAACCCCACACAGGCCACAGCCAGAAGGCATTCTGATGCCCTAGGACAGTGCACATACACATTCACGCGTGCGCACACACATGCACATGCATCATTCATGTGCGCTCATACACGTGCACATACATTCACACACATGTGCACACATGCACGTTCACACGTGAACACACACACACACACACACACACACACACACACGCTCATTCACTGACCCTTGCTGAGTGGATGGTGCAGGCACCTACCGTGCTGTCGTGTTTCTCAAAAGCACAGGTGCAATGATAGAAGCCGATCCTTGAACAGACAGACAGGAAACTTTTAACCCCCTTGTTTCTTCATAACCCCAAAACCATCCCCTGGAAAAGAAGAGCCACAGGACCCCTCGGTCAGTCTGTTTCCCACAGGCAGTAAGTACATCTGGGTGCACGCCCGCTCCTGGACCTCGTACACCCAGGCACTCGCAGTGAGAGCTCACTGGCCAGGTTAGTGAGAATTCTGGAGAAACCCTCCGTTTCTCTGACTTGTGAGAACTGGAGCTCTTTCCAGGAATCGGGGCCCACTGGCCGGGAGAGCAGGCCCGCAGGAGGGAACCTGGTGGAACTGAGGTGTTTACTTCTGGACTCATAATGACTGCCTGGGCCGGGTGCCCGCACGGCGGTCCGTCCCTACAACACTCTCCGAGCTTCCGTGTCGCTCAGGCTGGGCCCGGCCTGGGGGTCGAGCGCTCTAAGGTGCCGGCCCTCCCACAGGTCTTCCGATGGCCCCTTAGGATTGGGGTGACAAGACCCTTCCCAGGACCTGGTTCAAAGGCCATCCACACCGGTACCCAGGTGACCTGAGGCGCCGTGGACGGGGACCAGTAGGCTGGTGCACACGGCGAGTGTGGCCACGTGGCCCGCGTGCGCTCCGAAGCTGGGTGACCTCAGCCCCACGGGCAGGGCGGCTCGCCCTTCGTACCTGAAGTACTCGTGCTGGTCCTGCGAGTACAGTGGCGTGTCCAGGCAGGGCCGCTCGTCCACCTTCTCCTCCCAGGTGCCCTCCTTCCATCCTTCCGCGTAACCTTGCAGGACATAGATCTGCTCGATGAAGGGCCCGCCGTTCTCTGGAAGAGACAAGAACTGACAGTAAATTGCCGCCGCCGCCGAAACGCGTCATGTGGCCCGGAGCGGGCCGCCTCCGACAGAGGATTATCCCTCAGGACCCCTTCCTCCCGGGGACCGAAGGCAGCTTCAGTGAGGCTTTGCCAAACAAGTGACATTGGGGCAGAGTTCCCGGAGGGGTGCGTGGGTTGGCTTGGGGGTGGTTGAGCTGTCCAGGCCTGTCACCCTGGCCTCTTACAGCACCTGGGCTTGCCTCCACCCTCTTCTCTTTGTCCCTATATACCCTCCGGTCCCCCTCTGAGGAAGGGCTGGCCTCATGCCAGCCACAGGCCCCGTCCTCCTCTCCGGGGCTCTCCCGGGGACTGGCCTCCCCACTGTGCCTCCCAGGGGCCTCCGAATAGCCATCCCCATCTGGACCATCGCCCGGGGCTTGCTCATGCCCCGTGAGGCCATTCAAACTACATCCCTCAGACGCCTTTCAGGGTCTTGGCCACCCGCCCCTCCAACACTGTGGATCCTGCCAGCATTCCTTTTCTCCTTGCACGTTTCACCATCTCAAACAATGCAGGCTTCAATGGCTTACTTATATTCTTTCTTAAAGATCCTCACCTGAGGATATGTCTTTATTCATTTTAGAAAGAGGGAGAGGGGAACGAGGGAGGGGGTATGGAGGGAATCAATGTGAGAAACACCAAATGGGGACAACCTAGGTATGTGCCTGGACCAGGAATTGAACCCACAACCTTTTGATGCACAGGATAATGTTCCGACCACCAAGCCACCTGGTCCAGGCAGCGTCATTATATTCTTTATTTTCTGCTCCTCGTTCCCCACAGGAGCCCCAGAAGAGCGGGGGCCTGGGTCCCCACCCACACCTAGGATGTGCCTGCCACATCTGTGGCGGTCAGAGATTTGTTCGAAGATGGAATGAATGAGCCAGGGACAAGAGGGCCACAGCAAGTGACATCCCGGCGTCTTGTCCACGGTGTCTCCTGGGGCACTGTCATCTGCAGGGTGGGGCCCCAGGGCCTGAGCTCCAGGCCCCTCTCACAGTGAGGGGCCGTGTTGCGATCTGAGAGGCTGGTATTGGCCAGGTGCTCCGCTGCACACCCCCACAACTCCATCCTGGGATGGCCCCGTGTCTGCCCCTTCTGTGGGGGAGGAGACAGCTGAGCAGTCAGCTTGTCGGGTAGGATGGAAGCAAAGCCGTTCTGCCTGCCTGGGGCACTCCCTCTTCCCTCCCCCTGGTGGCTCCAGGTCCAGGGATGGGGCCTGGACAGCAGCAGGAAGGGCTCCTGGCTCCTGTCCCCACACACCTGCAGATTCGTCACTAAACGCCATGCAAATGGCTGAGGCCCAGACCCGCCCCCGGGCCCATCTGTCAGGAAACCCACGCCCACCCTGCAGGAAGGTACAGGCAGGTTCTCCGGGAAGCTCCGTCACCCGGTTCAGAACCAGGTGAGGCCAAGTCGGACTAAGCACCCTGCTACACCTCCCGTCCTGGGCTGGGGGAGAGAGAGAAAGCTCCAAGAATGCTTTGCACAGTCTCAGAGTTTGCCTCTTCTGAGAAGACACTATGTCGTTCCAGGCCTGCAGCGTTCATAGACCTTGAAAAATGAAGATGTGCAAGCCATCACCCTCAGTGTGAGCCCCGAGTCTAAGCTGCCAGATCCCTGCAGAGTCGGAAATCAAGCAGCGTCCCAGAGTAACTGTTACAAGTATCAGCAGCTTGCAGACCGTGACTCATCATTCATGCTACAGTGTGTCAGTGGCTGACAGAATGTGACTGGCTCCCCCAGGCCTCTAGGGAAGCAGAAAAGACAGATCACCGATTTGTTAGGCTTAGGTCTTCTAAACAAAGCAATAGTAAGTGCTAAATACCTTTACTCTAAGAAAATCTTCAAGCGGGACTAAATAAAGGACGCCTGGTCACGAGTTTCACCAGCACTGCGGTGGACAGCGCAAGGTCAGCGCCACACGCGCACACACACACACACACACGTGGTGTTTTGGTAAAGTGGCCTCTTCCGCCCGGAGCTGCGAGGAGCTAGGACAGCCGCGGCCTCCGTGGCAGCGGCTTTCTAACTGCACTTCCCTGACGCCCAGGCTGTCAGAGGTGAGGACAGAGCTCATAAGACTTCAGATCTACTTCCCTAGAAAAATTAAGGCAAAACCAAGGTCACTGGTACGTGTAACGGAAGGACACAGAGCTAAGGCTGCGTACAACAGCAGGCCCGACGAGACAGCCCTCGGGCCTGGCCTGCCGTCCACACCGGGACCACCGCCTCACCTCCGATGAAGTCCTCGTACTCCATGACGGGGATGTTCTTATTGAGACTGTCAAGATCAAAGAAGTCGGACCAGGGAATCCGGACCTGGTGAATGTCGGGGCTCTGCCAGTGGTAGAGGCGGCCCCAAGGGGGCAGCACCAACACCCACTCCTCATGCTTCATCAGGATCTTCAGGAGGGAGGCCATGCGGATGTAGACATCCCTGCGGAGGTTGAAGCCCTCCGGGGGGTTGACGTCGTACAGAAGATACCTGGGGGACGGACGGACGGACAGGACAGCGGTGCTTCAGGGTGGAGGTCTCTGGACGGAAAACCCCGAGGCGCCAGAGGTCCACAGGAGGTCATCCACCCTGGGGCTCTCAGTAACTTCTAGTCTTCGAGGTGGAGGCAGCTGCCCACCCGTTTCCATCTGACCGAAGACGTACAGAGCCCACAGGTAGGAGCGACTGGCGATAACTGACACCTAAGCATGGCGGCCTCGGTGACCAGATCCCGAGAAGCAGTCCTCCTGTGGTTTTCAAACTTTTTAGCCTACAGCCCACTTTACACTCTTCATTACCGAGGACCCCAAAAGGCTGTTGTTTACGTGGGTTGGATCGATAAATAACTCCTGCATTAAAAGTTAATGTTAAGAACGTTAAAAAGCACGTGTTGAGAACGTTAAAAAGCACGCGTTGATTCACTTCAAAGTAACACACCCATTACATAGTAACCCTTTTCAATAAAAAGTATATTTTTTCAAAACAAAAATAACTGGTGAGAAGAGTGGCAATGTTGGTGAATGTTTCCATCTGGCGAGAGCTGGATTCTCTTCTCTGCTGCTGCATTCCACGTGCTGTGACATCACAGGTGGTGGTGGGGGGGGGGGAAGACACGACGACGACACACTAAACCGGGAAAGGAGAGACAAACACCCGCAGAGCTGGGGTGTGTGCATGTGCGTGTGTGTGTGTGTGTGTGTGTGTGTGTGTGTGTTGGGGGGGGTCCTCTTCAGAGAGGGGAGCAGACCTTGTTCCCAGGGGAGCCCACTGCTCCCGCTGCTCAGCTGTCCCTAGGTTGCAGACACATTCACATTTACATGGGTCAACTGCGTGGGAGCAAGAGAGGGGAAAGGGGCAAAGACCACCAGTCTGGTATTACTGCGGAAATGGAATGTCCAGGGGTTCCTGGACACACGTTGAGAACCGCTGCCCGGTCCAAAGCAACCCCATCTGCTACAAAGACCCAGGCCGGGGTCCTGGGCATCTATGGCAACAGGTACTCATCCTCATCCTTCCTCCCCCAACGCCCCCCCCCCCCATGGCCCTTACTCCAGATGGACTGTGCGCAATCCAGGGGGTGGCCCATCTGCCCTCTCTGCACCTCCCACCCGGCACAGGTCTATTTTGTACGAAGATGACCTGCGCTGACCCTTCTTTTTCAGGCCTGAGACGTGAACATCTGGACGGAGACTGAGGACCCCGTGCACATACACAAAGCTGCGCTTTCTAAGAACCATGCCATCCAAACCTCCGATTCTGGGGCTCCAGGAAACTCGGAGGGGAGCCTGCATCATCTCACAGGGTCCCGCGCCCACCCGCCCTCCGCGCTGACCCACAGGCAGCCCCCCAGGTGTCTCCGGGGCCGCACCCGCCTCGGGCCGCCCTGGCTCGCGTCCCCTCCCCGGCCCGGTCCTGCAAGCCCATCAGACCCACCTCTCCCCCACCCCCCCACCCCCCACCAGGGAACCACGCGGACAGCTCAGCCCCGCGTTTACCGTCTGAAGGTCGCCCTGTCCGACAGGAGGTTGGCCGGCGACCGGTTGAGCCAAAAATTCTCGTCCAAGGCCCAGGCGAACTGGCAGCTCGCTGCCCCGAGCAGCACGCAGACGACGCCCAGCGCCGCCATGGCCTCAGACGGCACACACTTCCGGCCGCCAAGTCCCGCCCAGGAAGCGCCCGCCCGCCAGTCCCCGCGGGGCGCCTCGCCGGTAACCACGGCAACGCCGCGCGCCCCGCTCCGCCCCGCACGTGCGCGATGCGTCCTCGAAAGTCCGGAAGTCTCCAGGGTCCCACGCGCTGGGCAGCCGAGTCCCGCGGCCGAGTTCCGGGCCTTGGGCGGGGGGACAGCGGGGTCAGCGCGGGAAATCGGGGACAGCGCGGGGCGGAGTTGGGGGGGGGGGGGGGCCCGCGCTGGCTGCGGGGATCGCGACCTCCGCTCGGCGCCCTCGCTGGCCCGGGAGGCGGAGCGTGGGCAGCGCTCAGGCCTCGCAGGCAGGTGCCCGGCCTTGCTCCACTCCCCGGGCCCCGCATGGTGACTTCCCCTAGAGGCGAGGAGCCTTCTGCGGCCCTTCCACCCGTTTCTTCCGGGAGCACCTCGCGGAGAAAGGCGCAGGGGTTCCACGCCGCCGGGTAACCCCCACCCCCAGTGCGTCCGCCAGGGAGGGCTGCCGGGGGGTGGGGGGTGGGGGTGGCGGGGGGAACCCCCTTCTCCTCTCTCCTCTCTGCCTCCGCTAATAGGCCCCTGGAGTGTGGTCCTTACCAGAGGAGAGGTCTCACGCGCCTTTCATTAAGGAAAAAAAAAGAGAGAGAGAAAAGAAATTTTGATACAAATAAATGGAAATAGCTTCCTCCTTCTGCACCACAGAATAGGCCCCTGGAGTGTGATCCTTACCAGAGAAGAGGTCTCACGCGCCTTTCATTAAGAGAAAAAAGAAAAAAAGAAATCTTGATACAAATAACTGGAAATAGCTTCCTCCTGCACTGGGGTCTGATGGTTAAGGTTAACGGTGTTGCAGAAACGCCTGTTCTCCAGCGACTTGAGCTGCAGCCACTTGGCCACCAGAGGGCAGAAGAGCCCTTCCCAAGGCCCTGGGCTGGGGAAGAAGGAGGAGCCTCCAGGCTGGCCCAGGGAGCTGGGGGTCTCAGACCTGGGCCTGTGTCTTTCCTGCCCTGGGAGCTGGGTCTGCTTCTCCCCAGTCTGGCCCAGTTCCCCCAAAGAGGAGCAGCCATCTGGCCTGGGGTCCAGGCAGGTGTGGTCTGTGAGTTGTCAGGCCACACCTGTGAAAGCCGTGATGGGCTCTGGGGTCTCAGAAGTTCCCTTGCTGAGCACCCAGACCCCAACCTTGGGGTGGGAGAGTCACAGGAAAAACTGAGCCCAGGAGTCTGAAGAGAGACAGATTCTTCTGGAAGCTGAGATTCCACAGTAGGGACAGCTGTGTCTGAAGCAGAGTACAGGAAAGGAGGGTAGGACAAACACCTGCAGAGCTGGTGTGTGTGTGTGTGTGTTGGGGCGGGGGGGGGCACTGCTCCGGCTGCTCAGCTGTCCCTAGGTTGCAGCCACATTCACAAACACCTTCCAGTCGACCTGGAGGTGGCCCTATGGGTGGGGCAGAGAAGGAGCGGGAAAAGGCATCCTTAGGGAGACCTGATCTGCAATCACAAAGCTGGAGGTAGGGATCGGGGTTGTGGTGGGACAGAGTGGAGGATGGGCTGAGAATCTGAGATCCAGGGAAAATGTCAGAGTACATACTTTGTTTCATTAATCAGGCTGTTTGTTTATGTTTGGAGAGCTGGTTTCAAGGACTCGGCTCAGCCCTCTCAGATAGCATCAACAGAACCACAAACAGATGAAGGGGGGTGGTGTCCCTCCTTGGAACGAAGTGCAGGGACCTCTGCTGATTCAAAAGGAGACCTTTAATCAGGTATCGACTCCACACGACCCTTGTCCTCTGTGCTCTGGGGCTCTGTATCTGGCCAGGAATGCAAATTCTTCCAGAGGAGTCCCCAAAACTGCAGAGGATGGGCCTCTGGGGGGTGGGCAGGAGGATAGTTTAGATCCAGCCCATGAGAACCCAGAAAGGGGTGGAGGGCCCTTTATCCAGATTCTCCACAGCCAAATACATTGTAGCTGAGTTGCAACTCCCCCAGCAGGCGTGCGGGGAACTCTGTCCTCAGTCTGAGTAGGGAGCAGCCTGCCTGACTCCGGGGCTGGGAGAGAAGCTGCCGCAGGTGGAAGGGCCAGTGTGAGCACCCCCACTGTGTGTGGTGGGTGGAATGTGTTCTTTTTCAAATGCACAGCCAGTTGTCACATCATCATTTATTGAAAAGGGTATTCTTTTTTCACATAAATTCCCTGAAATACAGGGTGTCGTCTCTGCTGTTCCAGTCCCGACCCGCGCCCCTGTCTGTCAATTTCTGTGCAGCAGCGGTGCATTGGTTAGGATGGCTTTGCAGCAAACCCCTTACAGGCATTTCTCAGCTAAGCTCGCACACTTTCTCCTCCATGTGCAGTTTAGAACCCACTGCTTGTAGCCAGTCCTGCTGGGAGTTTTATCAGGACTGCACCGAGTACGTGGGCACACTTGGGAAGCTAAGGTCATGTGATCTGGAGTCTGGCTCCCGGGTGGGTCTGTATCTGGACTTATTTAAACTTCAGTAAAGTTTTCTAGTTTTGTTTTATGTCACAGTCATTTCTTCACTTGTTTCTGGGTTTTACTGCTGTCATGAATGGGGCACTTTTGCTTATGAAATATTACACTAGGGCCCAGTGCATGAGTTTGTGCACCAGCGAGGTCCCTTGGCCTGGCTCATAGGATTGGGCCAAAACTGGCTCTCCAACATCCCCTGAGGGCTTCAGATTGTGAGAGGGCGCAGGCCAGGCCAAGGGATCCCATCGGTGCACAGTCGGCTGGGGAGGGATGCCAGAGGTTGGCCAGCTGGTAAGGGACCGCAGGAGGGCTCCAGGGCGTGTCTGGCCCCCTTCAGTCCCAATCGGCCAGACCCCAGCAGCAAGCTAACCTACCAATTGACTGTCTGCTTCCTGGTGGTCAGTGCACAGCATAGCAAGTGGTTGAGTGGCCTTGCTATATCATTAGCATATTATACTTTTGATTGATTGAATGGCTGACCAGACATTTACCATATTAGGTTTTTATTATATACTAGAGGCCTGGTGCATGAAATTCGTGGATGGGGGGAGGGTCCCCTCAGCCCAGCAAGCACCCTCTCCAATCTGAGACCCCTTGGAGGATGTCCAACTGGTTTAGGCCTGATCCTCAGTTGGACATCCCTCTCACAATTCTGGACCACTGGCTCCTAACTGCTCACCTGCCTGCCTGCCTGATCACCCCTCACTGCTCCTCCCGCGCCCCACCCCCTCCCCGCTGGCCTGCCGACCTTATCGTCCCCAACTGTCTTTTCCCCATCGACCTGGTTGCCCCCTAATTGCCCCCCTGCCAGCCTGGTCGCCCCACGCAGCCTGCTGCTCAGTCGTTTGGTCGTCCCTCACTAATCCCCTGCCAGCCTGGTCGGCCCCATGCAACCTGTTTGGTCGTCCATTTGGTTGTGATGGTGGTGTAGGCTTTTTATATACAATAGATAGAAGATATTGCTGCTTTAATAAATGCTATTATATTTGTGTGTTGACCCTAAAATTGGCTGCTTTTATTCTGAATGGTTTGCCAGTTGATTGTTTTAGATTTCCTAGACAAATAGTCATGTGATTATGCAAATAATTGTATTTTTATCTCTGCCTTTATAGTACATATGTACTTCACATGTATTTTCTTATATTATTACATGCACTAGGATTCAAATATAAAATCGGGCATCTTTCTCTTGTTTCTGACTATAATGTGAATGGCTCTAATGCAGCTGTCAGCAAACCATGGCTGGGAGCCAAACCCTGCCCACAGGGGTCTCTCTTTGTAAGTAAAGTTTCATTGGCAGGCAGCCTGGCCTGTTCATTTACATGTTTTCTAATCGGCTGTTTTCATACTGTGGCATCAGTGTTAAGTAGTTGGGACAGAGACCATATGGCCGGAAAAACTTAAAATATTTGCTGCCTGACCCTTTGCAGAAGTTTGCTGACCCCTGTTCTCATGTATTAAGTGCGATGCTCGTTGGAGGTTGAGGAATTTTCCTACCATTCCGAGCTTCCTGAAGGTCTGGTTGGGTGTGCTTCCAGCTCAGTAGTAAGTATTATATGTTGCCAGGTGCTTTGGGGGGGTTGGCTAGTTTTTGAGATGACCAGGGATTTTCCTCTCTTTAATCTCTTAATGTAGCGAACTGCACCCACGGATTTTATAATGTTGACTCATCCTTGCATTCCTGAGATGAGCTTTATTTGCCCCTGATGCATTGGGTTCTGTTTGTCAGAGCATTTATTTGGGGTAATTATGTCCCTGCTATAAATCACATGTCCCCATGAGTGTGTGTGTGTGTGTGTGTGTGTGTGTATGTGTGTGTGTTGTGTGTGTGTTATCTCATCACTGGGATATGTGCTGGGAAAGGTGCATATCATCAGAGACGAATGACCGAGTGGCATCTGCCACTCCCAGTTCCGAACCTGGGAGACCCCGAGCTCAATGGCGACATTACCGTGCTGTTACCTGCTGCACCAGCGTCTCGGAGGATGAGAGAGCGATGTGAGCGCGGGGCCAGCTGCGGTCAGCGTGCGGGGCTGACTCGGGTTTGCGGACCGGGCGTGTGGGAGAGAGAACACCCTCCTGGCAAAGCCGCCGGAGCAGCGTCGGAGCTGGAGAAGGAGGGCCGGGCTCTGCATGCGAACCTTCAGACCAGCAGTCACATCTGGGCCAGTATCTCCAAGGGGCTTAGAACCAGAGCCCAGAGCAACGCCGAGGACGTGGGATGGTGTGTGATTTCACAATCGAAGGGAATCGGTGTCCAACGTCGAATACTGAAGCACGGTAACGTGCTGAAGGCTTGCCCAGGGACCAAGGGGCTGCTGCCCACGTGCAGTGGCTCTTCAGAGCCTCCTTGGCCCCTTGGAGGTGGGCACCCCCAAATGTTGGTGGGGACCCTTGGGCCACAAGGACAGACTGAATTCCCAGGAGCTCGAGCTAAGAGCAGAACGCGCTGCAGTTCAGAGGGAGAGACAAGTGAGCCAGGGTCCCTCTGATGCTGCCTGGCCCTCAGCGTCTCATTGTTATGTCATCTTCTCCTCACCCTCCTTTCCCCTCGCACCTCCCTCTCTCTCTCTTCCTCTCTCACTCTCTCTCTCTTTCTGCTCTCCACATGTGTCACTCACTGCTCATGGGGGCAGCCACGTAAGCCGGCAGAACACACCTCTAGAAAGATGGGTTCCACAGAGCAGGAGGCACCAGGGAAGCCCTGGAGACATACGTTTGGTGCTGCCATTGACGGCAGGTGGCGGAGATGCTGGAATTACGTGGGCATCAGAAGTCACCTGGTTTTACAGGTACAAAAAAATTGTGGATAATCAGGCACTTCTAGCCCTGACCCCAGCCCAGTGTCACTGGGCAAGTGGCATGTTTTTCGGATGCAAGGAGTTTCCGGAGGCAGAGGGCTGGGCCCGGGCCCCT